AAACTGTACATTTAAAAATGGATAAGATAACCAGGCATGGTGGGCACATGCCTATTATCCCAGCAGCTCTGGAGGTTGAGACAGGAGGATCAGAAGTTCAAGGCCAGCCTCAGCAACTTAGTGGGACCCTCTCTTATAATAAAAAATTAAAAGGGCTGGGGATGGGGCTCAGTGGTAAGGTGCCCTTGAGCTCAATCCCTGGTATGAAAAAAAATCAAAATCCAAAAATGGATAAAATAGTAAATTTTGTTACATATTTACCACAATGAGAAAATAAAAATAAATCTTATACCGGAAATGACTGCTGATGGCTACAGGGCTTCTTTTGGGAGTGATGAAAATGTTCTAAAATTAATTGTTCCAATGGTCGCACCATTCTACAAATAAACAAAAAACCATTGATTTGTACAATTTAAGTTGTTGAATTGTATGACATGTGGATTATAGCTCAACAAAGCTTTCCTTCTTCTTCTTCTTCTTCTTTTTTTTTAAGGAAGAAAAGAATAGATCCCCAGAGAACAATGCACTTAAAAACTGAACCAGGCGGCGGAATCCTGTGGACAAGGTCTGCCCTTTGCAACTTTGCATGGTGGACCCCTGACAATCGCAGGCAAATATTAGGTACTTCATAAGAGAAAAGCTGAGGAAAATTCCCAGGACAAACACATTCCTGCTGCTTTTATCTAATTTTTATATATATATATATATATATATATATATATATATATATATATACATACATACATATATGGTAGTTGTAGATGGACACAATATCTTTATTTTATTTATTTACTTATTTTTAATATTTATTTTTTTGTTGTAGTTGGACACAATACCTTTATTTATTTATTTTTTATGTGGTGCTGAGGATTGAACCCAGGGCCTTGCATGTGCTAGGCAAGCGCTCTACCACTCAGCCACAACCCCAGACCATTATATATTTATTTTTATGCAGTGCTTCACCCGTGCCAGGCAAGCACTCTACCACCAAGCCCCAACCCCAGCCCTTCTGCTGCTGTTAATGGAACAGTAAGTACCAGATATCATGCTCATCCTCATCTGATCTCCCACCCACTCATTTTTCAGGAGATATCATTGAGGTTCTGGCAATGACAGATTTTCTCTTGATCATAGTCAGGAAGTGGCAAAGCTCAGAAGGGGACCCAAATCTGCCAGGCTTCAAAGCTGAGATCTAAAAACTGACCCTCAAAAATTCTTCAGTTTGTTAAAAACTTTCAGACTTACCAAAAAGCATAATATAGTATGCACCTGTGTATGTACCTTCACCCAGCTTAAGAGATCAAATGAAGGCCTGGAGTTGTGGTTCAGTGGTACTCACCTAGCACGTGCAAGGTCCTGGGTTTGATCCTCAGCACCACATAAAAATAAATAAATAAAATAAAGTTATTTATTTTATTTAAAAATAAATAAGTTTATTTTATTTTATTCAAAAAAAAAAAAAAAAAAAGAGAGATCAAATCAACCTCAGACTGGGGATGTAGTTCAGAGGTAGAGCATTTGCCTAGTGTGCACAAGACCCTAGGGTCAGTCCTCAGCACTGGGAAAAAAGAAATTAAAAAGTGAGGGAGAGAGAAAGAGAGATCAAACCATCCTTGCCATGAAATCTCCAGTATCTACTGCCCTCCCTACCACCAATTCCATATCCCTTCCACTGGGTAACTGTGCTCTTGAATTTGATGTTTATTGTTGCTACTTTTTTACTCTGTACTTATTTGCAAAAAAATATGTAGTTTTGCCTGTTCCTGAACTTTATATAAAAAGTAGTATCCTATGGAATGAGTATTTGGGCGGGGGGGGGGCACCAGGGATTCCAGGGACACTTAACCACCAAGCCACATCCCCACCCCTTTTTATTTTTTTATTTTGAGACAGGCTCTTGCTAAGTTTCTTAGAGCTGTGCCAAGTTGTTGAGACTGGATTTCAACTTGTGATCCTTCTGCCTCAGCCTCCAGAGCCACTGGGATTACAGGCACTTGCTAAGCAGCTTCCAGTTTTTTTGTAATTACAAATACTGCCACTGGGAACATTCTGTCCAATTGTGTCAGTCCAAGGGAGCAAGAATTCCTAAGAGTTAGTATTTCTTTTCTATTGCTTTTGTTACAAATCACCATCAAACCTGCAGCTTAAAATGACACAAATTGATTATCCTGCACTTCTGGATGTCAGGATTCCAAAATGGGTTTTGGCAGAAACTGAGGCACAGGCAGTCTTCCCCTCCTGGAGTCTCCAGGAGAGCATCTATTTCCTTGCTGTCTCCAACTTTTAGATGACTGTGATCTATGGCTTCCTCTTCAAAGCCAGCAATGTAACATCTTCGGATTTCTCTCTGCTGCCATTGTCATATCTCCTTCTCCCATTCAGACCCTCCTGCCTCCCTCTTGTGACTACATGATCCAGGATCATCTCCCCATCTCCAGAGCCTTAAGTCAGAGGCATCTGCGAAGGCCCTTTTGCCATGTAAGATCCCATATTCACAGGTTCCAGGGGGTTTCTTTGGGCAAGGGCATTATTCTGTCTAATATAGAGAGAAATAGCTGGGGAGGGGGTGGCACAAGCCTCTTTGACTTTCTTGTTTGTCAAACTGCTCTCCAAAGCCAGCAGATGCTCTCTCCCACAAGTCCTGCTTAGGTACGCTGGGTGTTCCTGTCCTCACCATCACTGGATAGTATCTGACTTTTTAATTTTTGCCAGCTTGATAGATATGAAATGCCTGGTTTCTGATAGATGTTTAGCCAAAAAAAAAAAAAAAAAAAAAATGGCGGTCAATAATTTGGCGTGTGAAAAAGAATACTGGCAGGAAGTAAGGAGTGGATGACCTTGACTAGAGAGAAGCCCCTGGCATAGTGGGAGTGAGGTTCAAGGCGAATGAATCACGTAATGGGGTGGTGGGGGTGGGGCAGAAAGTGGAGAGCAGAGCGGGAATTTGAAAAATATCCATGGGGAGGTGAGAGGGAGGTGTAATTCTAAAGGCAGAAATTAAGGGTGGAAGAGAGAACAGAGCGCGCCAGGCACCTTACAGGGCTCAGGGGAAGGTGAGACTCAATGGAGGTGAGACTCCAGCCAGGCATTTGGAAGGAAGAGAGCTGCCTCTCCTGGAGGCGGGAGGGAAGCAGGGCCCTGGGCAGGTGCTACGAATGTCCAAAGAGGTGAAGCAGGACCTGGGACAGGCTTCTCCTTACTGAGCAGTGGAGCTAGCTACTGAGCTGGGGAGGAGAGGACACTGGGGGTCTGAAGAGCGTGGGGAAAGGCTCACAAGCAAGGCTCTGGGGCTCCGGGCCTCACAAGAGGAGGAAGGTCCCATCTTCAGATCTTTTTTTTTTTAATATTTATTTTTTAGGTGCAGATGGACACAACACAATGCCTTTATTTTTATGTGGTGCTGAGGATCAAACCCGGGTCCTGCCCGTGCTAGGCAAGCGCTCAACCGCTCTACCGCTGAGCCACAATCCCAGGCCCACCTTCAGATCTTACCTTGACCTCCTAGGAGGAAGGAGGCTGACAGCCCAGGGTGTGAGAGGCCAAGGGAGGCCAGGGAAGGCACAGTGTCTAGGAGATCCCTGAAAGCTCATTGGAGACAGTGGGCTCCTGTTCCCTGGTTTATGGAATTCTCTGGTTCCCTTATTTTCTCCTTAATCTTCAGAACTCCTATTCATCCTTTGAAACCCAGCTCGGATGTCCACTGCTCTGACGAAACTTTCTGATTATCCTGGTTTCACCTGAATTTTCAGAGCAAGCGGTGAAGTGGAACAAGCTCACTCATTGAGGTTTGATTTAATATAAGTAACTTAATCTCTGACCTTCTATTTCCTGAGATGGGGAATGTCAATGGCCAAGCCCACTTTTTTTTAATGCTATTTTAAAAATATTTTTTAAAGTTGTCGAAGGACCTTTTTTTTAAAAAAATATATGTGTGTGTGTATATCTATATCTATCTATCTATTTAGTTGTGGCTGGCACAACACATTTATTTATTTATTTATTTTAATGTGGTGCTGAGGATCGAACCCAGGACCTCGCCTGTGCGCGAGCGCTCTACCTCTGAGCCACAGCTCCAGCCCCATGGACCTTTATTTTATTTGTTTATATGCAATGCTGAGACTTGAACCCAGTGCCTCACACATGCTAGGCAAGTGCTCTACCACTGAGCTATATCCCAGCCCTGAAAAGCCCACTCGTAAAGATGGGAATTGGAAGCCAATGTGTACTGACACCTGCCACTCTGTCTTTACTAGAGTAAGCTGAGCGGGAATGTGACTGCCTTAATCGGACAGCTCCCTGAGGGCAGGGACAATGTCCTCACAGCGTGTATAATTCAGTGCCCTGCACAGACAGGCATCATGTGCTCTCTGGATCCTGCACAAAAGGGAAGAACTGGGATTGTCTATCATTCGCCTGTAATGGGACTTTAGGGAGCTGACATCATCTCTGAGATGTTTCCTCATCTCCAAGGTAACAGTAACTCATATTGGGTACCAAGTCACCTACTACCGGTAAGGCATTCAACATCTGTGATCTCGAATGCTCCCTGTGTACCACCGTCCCATTTCACAGAAGAGCAAACTGAGGCTCGGGGAAGGCGAGTGACCTGTCCAAGTTGGCAGCAGAGCTGGAGCTCCTGGCCACCTGCCGAACTCAAATTCGTGCAAATCCAAGGGGTAAATGAGAAAGAGCCTTGCAAATTGTAGACAGCACTAGGGGGGACGGTTCACGCCTCCAGGTGAATGGTGGTGGGGCGATGGGGTGCGCTGAGAGGCCCTCCGCACCGCAGCCGACATTCAGCCTCTGGGCCGGTTTGGGGGTGCGCGCCGCCCTCCGCGGCCCTGGCGGCCAGGGGTGCGGCCCGCCCCCTCCCTGCCCCACCCCCAGCCCGGCGGCGCGGCCCCTTTAAGAGCGGGCGGGGCGCCCCCTGGCGGCGGAGCGGCGCGCGCGGCCGGAGCCGGAGCGGATCCCGGAGCCGGAGCGGAGCCGGGGCGGAGCGGGCCGAGCGGGCCGAGCCAGCAGCCGAGCTGGGGGCGCGGGCGGGCGGCATGTACCGGGCCCGGGCGGCGCGGGCGGGGCCGGAGCCCGGCAGCCCGGGGCGCTTTGGGATCCTCAGCACCGGGCAGCTGCGGGACCTGCTCCAGGATGAGCCCAAGCTGGACCGGATCGTGCGGCTCAGCAGGAAGGTAGCGCGGGGGGCGCGGGGGCGGGGGGCCGGGCCGCGGCCTGCCGGACCTGCGACCACCGCGGCCGCGCGGGCCGGGCCGGGCCGCCGGGGCGCGGCGCCGGGCACGTCCGATGGGCCCCGCGGGGCCGCCCGGGGAGGGGGCGCCTGGCCGGGCGGGCGGGCGGGGCGCGGGACCGGGAGGCGCCCTGCGCCCGGGGCGGCCGCGAGGCGGGTCCTCCGGCGGATGCTCGGGAGGTGTGTTCCGGGGGGCAGGGGCGGCCGTGTCGGGGCCCCGCTCGCGCGCCCGCGCTCCGCAGGGCCGGAGAGGGGAGGCGCCTTCCGCGGGGCGAACTCGGGGCCTGTCTGGCACTCGGGGCTCCGCCGGGGGCTGCGCCGTCTGGGCGCGGGAGGGGGCTTTGTGTCTGCCGCGGGGGGGGGGGGGCGGCTGCCGAGCGCGGGCCGCGCGTTCCGGAGGCCACCGGAGGAGAAAGTTGACTGTTTCACGGGCGATAGGCCCGGGCTGGGTGTCCGCGGGGGCAGGAGGCAGACAGGAGGGGCAGGTGCATCCTACAGGGGACAGATGGAGGGGAGTGCGTTCCCCAGGGGCAGGCGGGGAGGCTCGGCCCTCCCAGACTTCTCCAGGGCCGGGGGCCGCCTTCTGTCAGCCCAGAGCAGGAAGCAGGTGCTGGGGATCAGGGAGGAAAAGGGGGTGTGTATGCGCGGGGGCGTGGGATTCCACTGGAGGGCAGGGGAGGGGTGTGAAGGGAAGAGAGGGTGACCTGACTGGGGGTGCTGCCAAGGGACAGGGTGCAGACAGCACTCCGGAGAGTCAGCCCTGGGGTGGGAGTGTTTTCAGCACAAACACCTGAGGAGGAAGCAGACAAAGGCCTGGAATAGGAGCGAAGCTGCCCATGCATGGAAAATGGGACAGAAGAGGGAGGGGAACTCCTCAGGGACCCGAGCAGACATATTAATTGAAAAATTAAAAATTAACTAACATTTGTAGAGGCCTTCATAGTTTTGTTCACTTAAGTCTCACAATGACCCCATAAGACGGGTATTTTGAACTCGCTTTGTAGAAGAGGAAACTGAGGTCCAAAGAGGAGCTCAAGGCAAAACTGAGTCCCTGCCACCGCACTCCCTCCACCTGTTGGGCTTGCAGCCCTGAAGGTTGGGGCCTTGCCGGTGCCTTCAGCTTGGCCCACAGGCACTACTATGGCCCAGGATGGCAGCAAGGTGAGCCTGGGCAGACTCCCGGGGGCCCCTCTTAGCTCTTCTCTGCTGGCAGTTCCAGGGCCTGCAGCTGGAGCGGGAGGCATGCTTGGCCTCCAACTACGCCCTGGCCAAGGAGAACCTGGCCTTGCGGCCCCGCCTGGAGATGGGCCGAGCAGCCCTGGCCATCAAGTACCAGGAGCTTCGAGAGGTGGCTGAGAACTGTGCTGACAAGCTGCAGCGACTTGGTGAGGGGACATCTGGAAGACTGCCTGGGGTGGGGGAGCAGTTGGCCTTCTGGCTAGTTGACCAGAGCATGTAGTAGGCTCTGAAGGGTGGGACTCGGGCAGACCTACTCCTTGGCACATCTGAGGGGTGCTATTCCTAGCCTTCTGGAAAATGGAGTTGGGGAAGGGGCTCTAGGTGGATGGACCTAGCTTGGAGAGGCTGAGTGTGGTCCCAGGAAGTGGGAGAATTGGGTCCAATACCCAAATGCCCCCTGGGTATTCTGGGAGTCAAAGTCACTGCCTTCCCTTCTTCACTGAACTGGGGGCAGAATCTTATTGGGGAGGGACCCACAAGGTAATCACATGGGCACTGTGCAAATGAGGAATCTAAGGCTCCAGAGAGGAGACGGGCAGTGTGGAATCATAGTCAGTGGGAGAGTCGGCCCTTGGGGCTCTGGCTTGTCCATCCTAGCTGGTCACTGTGTCCCTCTGTGGCCCTCAGAGGACAGCATGCATCGCTGGAGCCCTCACTGTGCGCTGGGCTGGCTACAGGCTGAGCTGGAAGAGGCTGAGCAGGAGGCGGAGGTGAGGGGAGGTGGCTGGGTCTGCATGGGGACCAGAGGGAGACCCATCTTATCCACTCTGGTCTCATTACATCGAAGACTTGGGAGCTCCTCCTCTGGGAAGCCTGCCCTGAGTGCCTGGCCATAGCCCATTGTGGCTGTCTGTACTGCTCCAACCCTGGATAGAATGGCTCACTGTCCCCACCTATGACTTTTGCCCTTGATCCCTTGTGAATGTCTCAGAGAAGTGGAGTTGGGAGGGGTCTACGGGAGACCTGAGTGGACTTGGTGCTAGGCTGGGAGTGTGGCACCCCATGAGGTGAAGGACACAGGGGAAGAGGACCCTGCTTGAGTTCTCTTGATGAGACACCTGTATGTGCCCACCTCTGATCCTGCCTCAGCTCTGACCTGGCAGGTCTGGTGATGACATCCTCATTTTGGAAGTAAGGAGGGCATTTATCCCTGGTCACTCAGCAAGTCAGGCTGGTCCAGACTGGAACGCAGGGGCCCTTGTTCCCAGCCGTGGTCGCCATGGGGAGGGACTCTGTCCCTGGCCATGCTTCTCCCAAGCCTTCTCTCCCTCTGCCCAGGAGCAGATGGAGCAGTTGCTGCTGGGGGAGCAGAGCCTGGAGGCCTTCCTGCCGGCCTTCCAGCGCGGCCGGGCCCTGGCGCACCTGAGGCGGACACAGGCTGAGAAGCTGCAGGAGCTGCTGCGGCGACGGGAGCGGTCTGCCCAGCCAGCCCCCACTGCGGCCGCGGACCCCCCCAAGCCCTTCCCTGCTGCAGCTGTCCTGCCCACTGGGGCTGCCCGGGGGCCACCATCAGTGCCCCGGAGCCTGCCCCCCTTGGACTCCCGCCCAGTGCCACCACTCAAGGGCTCCCCTGGGTGCCCTCTTGGCCCAGCCCCTCTGCTGAGCCCTCGGCCCTCTCAGCCAGAGCCCCCCCACCGGTAGGATCCAGGCTGTGGCCCCCCAGTGGGGGGCCTAGACAAACTTGATTCGTGGCTCCTCCTCCTCCCCCACTGCCTGGGTGGGGGGAGGGGCAGGCCCCTCCCCCTGGCCTCAGGCAGGCCCTGGCCCTGGAGGCTGAGCTGGGGAGGAGGGTCACCCCAAGAGGCCCAGAGAGGGCTTGGGTAGGGTGGGCAGGGTGCTGGGCCTCGGGCGATGAGGAAACTCTGCCTTTCTTGTCTCCCTGGCTGGGGCCTCTGGGGTGACAGGCCAGCCCCATGGAAGAACTTCACTTACCTACAGGGCCTGGGGCCTGGGGCCAGGACGGTACCGCTTCCCCTTGGGGCCTGTCTCACTCTGCCACTCCACTGGGTGCGTGCAACGCCAAGGCCAACGGGAGTGTTTCCATCAGGTCTTGAGCCTACTTTTCCCCCAGTTCTGGGGCCCACCACCTAGGAGCCAGGTGGTCAAGGCCCCAGCTGCGGGGCAGGGACACCACGGCCCTGGGGCTGCTACGTGCCCTGCACCTGCTCCAGACCCTGGGGCAAGATAGGCTAGGGCTCTGACCTGCGCCAGTGAGAGCAGGCCACCCCAGGAAAGACCATTCTGTATTTTTCTGTCCCTGTCTCCTTAGAATGGAACCTTTTTGAGGGCAGGTCCTTGTCTTTGTATGTTCTGTCCCCAGCCCCGCTTCCTAGGGGCCGTCAATAAATGTGATGATGCGGATGACGCGCTGCCAGACTCCTCTCTGCTCCCTTGGCCAGCCATTCTGCGGGCGCAGCCTCCACAGTTCAGCCTCTGGGCCGCTTCCTCTCGAGATGCCCTCCCTTCCTCTCCACCCACCCAAAGCCCAGCGTCCTGCAGGTCCAGCACTGCTGCTGCCTCTTCTGCGAAGCCTCCTCTGGTCACCAACCTGTGAAAGCCCTTCCTAAATCTTATCTCCCAGCACTTCTGGCCAGAAGCACATTCTGCTCCACTGCGGCCTCCAGTTGCTCCACCTGTACGCGCTTTCTTTTCCGGGGTCTCTTGTAAGCCCAGTCAGGATGGCACCTGCTCCTTCTGGCCTGCCAGATGACCACCTCTCTGGGCGATGGAGTGTCTGTGGGACAGAAGGGCTTTGTCTTCAGCCAGGTGGAGACTGGAGGTCAACTTGGCTGATGAGTGTGGGCAAGAATATGGGTCAGCAGGAACATGCCCTGGCTCAACCTGGGTCCCGGCTAAGGAAAGGAATGATGTTCAGGGAGGTGTGGAAGTGCTTGCAGGCACAGGGGACTGTCAGAGTGCCATAGAAGCTTGCAAAGTTGGCCTGGTCTGGTTCGTGAGAGTAAGAATTGCACCATCTTGAATGAGGGAGGTCTTGGGTTGCTCTGCATCCCACTGAAGTTTGACACTACAAGATAGAGATCCCAAAAGGGCACCTTTGGAGGAATAAGGACTGGAAGGAGTGGAACTAAGTCCCAGGAGGGATCTGTTGAGAAACGCACGTGTGTGGTGTTTAGCTTTGGCATTTCTAAAGGACTGTACCCTGTGGTGCCAGAGTCAGAGGAGACCAATGGAAGCAGACCGCGCTCAGTCAAGGCCCTGAGTGCTGCGCTCACATGGAGGCGTCACAGTGCCTGACGGGCCTTTAGAGATTAGGCAACAGCTGGAGGAGCAGGCCCATGTGAGCTTCAGAGAGCCCTCTGGGCCAGTCACTTGCCCCTAGTAGGGGTACAGTTAAAACCATGAGTGCCCACTCAAGACACCCTGTCCCACCCTGGCCTCATTGCTCCATTGCTGAGACGACAGCGACTCATCAGTGAGGGAAACCTTCATTCTTGTCTCAGCTGGGACAGGTTGAACCTCTCTTGCCCTGGAATCCATTCCTCATCCCAGCTTCCAGGAGTTTTGATTGTAATCAGGAGAGATGGGGCTGAGGTTGGGCATGACCAAGCTTTTCTCTGCTATCGTGACTTGGGGAATGGCCTCTAGAGGCAGCATCTAGTCTGAAGAGGGCAGGTGAACAGCAAAGGAAAGACCCAGGTAAGAGTGGGACTGGGGAGGGAGAAGAGTGATACCATGGGAACCAGATGCGGTCCTTCCAAAGGCCATGTACACACCTCACCTTCCACCAAGAGCTCAGACCCACCTGTAGAGGGAGTGAGGCCTCTCACTGTTCAGCTCAAGCCTGGTCAAGACCTGAGGTAGGTGGGGATGGAGTGGGCTTCCTGGGTGGGCCAAGGGAGAGGCGAGTTGGATGGCTAAAAAACTTCAGGAAGCCCCTGGCTTGAAGGCACATGGAGTATTCTGGAATATTCTGGAAGAGGTCAGGCAGTCTGGGCCCTTCCTCCTTTCTAAGACTTTCTGCTTCCAGGTTCTAAGGCCCCAGGGAATGATCCTGACTATAATCCTCTGTGAAAAAGTACAAACTTGAGGGACTACATCAAGGTCCTTTTATAGACACTACTGCTTTTATAAACCCAAACCAAAAATACCCCCAAATAACAAATCTCCTACCCTTTGGGATAAACACAAAATTCTTGTTTCTCAGAAAGTCTTACATATGCCTCCTGGTTTGGGAATCACTGGCTTCCCATCATTTTCTAGGCTTCCTCTCTTGTCCAGAGATGGACCATCAAGGCTCACTGAGCTATGCAGGCCTGAGCCACTGTGGCCTTGCAGAGCCCTGGCTATAGGCTCACCCCAACCTTCCAGACAAGAGGTTGCTGAATGGTTTCTAAAAGGGACAAGCTGGTTGGTTTCCCCTTTTGGTGGACATGCAGAAAGACATTTCTGATATGCAAAAAGCCCTGGGTTCAATCCCCAGCACCACCAAAAAAAAAAAAAAAAAAAAAAAAGAAAGACATTTCTGTGCTCTGGGGACATGGTGCAAGTGTGTGGATGGAGGCCTTGTGTACCTCACCTCTTCCAGCTGGTGGGCATGTAGCAGCCTGGGAAGCAGTGTTCATCTAGGAGTGAGTGGCTGTTAACTTGGCTTCTCCCACAGTGCCCAGGAAATTAAGTCAGCTCAATGGTGGCAGACATTCTAATTTTTCAAGAGGTTAGGAATCTATTTTTCTGCAAAAATCTCCCAAGTTTTGAATGTTGGCTTAAGATATTTTAGGACACATCCCAGCCAAACAGGTTAGTTGTGGCCCATGAACCACAAATCTGTCTGCCCCAGGTCTTCTGAAATAGGCCTTCTTGTGTCTAATGCATCCCCTCCTTGGACTGAGGGTGTGGATGCTAAAGGGGCAAAGGTAGGGTGAGCGGGAGGTCAACCAGCCTCAAGATTAGCCGCAGGATCCCAGGCCTGAGATATGGCAATTGGAGATATGTCTAGAGTCACAGGACCAAGTGACCTCAGGACAGCCAGTGAGAGATGAACCCCCATATGGGCTACCTGTTGTGATGAGAGCGTTCTTGGCAATGCAAGGTCAGAAGGTCCACATACCTTAACAGAGGGACACTCAACTGCTCTGCACAAATCTCTCTGGGCTATAAGCTACATCCCAGAGCTGAGCTGGGGGGCAGGAGAGGCAGGTTCTCTGCCATGCTCTTGTGCATGGGCAGATGGCAGTATGTGACTTAATCACAGGCAGATGAATCGAGAGTACGCAAAGGCCAGGTTAGAGCCCACATTCTTGTGCACCAACTTCAAGAGCATGGATGGGGGTGGGGATGTAGCTCAGCAGTAAAATACATGCCCAGGGTCAGGTGTGAGGCCCTGGGTTCAATCCATAGCACTTTAAAAGAGGGGGTGTGAGGGCTGGGGATGTGGCTCAAGCGGTAGCGCACTCACCTGGCATGCGTGCGACCCGGGTTCGAGCCTCAGCACCACATACAAAGATGTTGTGTCCGCCGAAAAACTAAAAAAATAAATATTAAAATTCTTAAAAAAAAAAAAAAAAGAAGAGGGGGTGTGAGGGAGAGGACTGAAGGAGTACCACCACTGACCAATGTCCTTTCTCTTCGCCTGTTTTCGTGGGGTCTGGTGACCTCCCTGAAAGCCCAAAGGTTCAAGACTCAGGCTTCTCCCATTTCTCAAAAAAAGGAGTGTTGGTGCCAATCGCTTGGCACCTGTGAAGACCTGAGTCAATTGTGATCCAAGGGATGACTCCTTGGACTAAGGTTGGCTCCTTCTGGTTCCATGACAGAGGCTGAAGATGCACCCACAGGATGACAGCCGGGATCTCAGAAGAAAGTAGGACTCTTACTGTCAATGCTGGGATCTGCAAAGGGTTAGTTTACCCAGCAATAAAATAAAAGAGCAATGAGGGGGGAGCAGTTTGGCTCAAAAGGAACACAGTTCTGATCAACTCCAAGGACCACACACAACTGCCTACACACATGCATCTTGGTCCCTGCTGGCTGCCCAAGTCTTCGCACCTGGGCCTGGTGCCTGCTGCTCTCTTGACCTCTACTGTACTTGCACCCCCTTCCCCACCCCACTGAGCACAGCCTGAGGCAGATTTGGCCCTTTTTGCTAGTCTCTCGTTCTAGGTCCAAACTTCAGGGGAGATTTTAGTTTGCAACCAAAAGAAGAAAAATGACTAAGACTGGGCACGTCTGAGCCTTCCTGCAGGATCAGGACTAGGGGGATAAGCCCTACAAGGCAGAGGCTAGTGTCCATGGCAGCCTCCTCTTGCCAGGGCAGGTAGAGTAAGACTCAGACAATCAGGAAAGGGGGAGACAAATGTTATCATGGGAACCAGTTGGGGATCCTTCAAAGTCCTCCCACACATCTCCCTTTCCATGAAGACTCAGACTCAGTTTTAGGAACAGCAGGGATAGAGCCTCTCAGAGCTCGGTTGTGGCCTAAAAAAGACCAGAAGCCTATGGGGATGGACACTCTCAGAGTGCAGTGGTCCTTGTCATAGCCACAGGAGAGGCTGACCAGGTGGATGATGCTTAATAAACTTTACAAACTAACCTGTTTAGAGTTGCATAGAATGTTATGGAACGTCCCCAGAATTTTCATGTTGAGAACCATCCCCCCAGTCTGAAACCTGTAAAATTCTATGTTATCTACTGGTTCTAGGGCCACAGGAAACATTCTTGGCTGGGAGAAGACAAACGTGAGGTCTATGTCATGGGTGCATGGTGTTACAGATCCCTAGTGCTTTTAAAAACCCAAACTAAAGAGCCCTTCTGATGGAAACAAAAGCCCCCACCCCAAGTACTGTCAAGCCTTGCTTTCTTGGATGAGAAATCACTCACTTGTGCACATTCTGCTAAGCTCCGCTTCCCCTAGTTTATATGTACAAAAGAGAACTTGAAACATAACAACATTAAATGTTCTTTTAAAAAGTACACATATCCTCTAGTGGGTCGCCAAAACCCACCTATAATCCCAGCAGCTAGGGAGGCTGAGGCAGGAGGATAGCAAGTTCAAAGCCAGCCTCAGTAAACGTGAGGTGCTAAAAAACTCAGTGAGACTCTGTCTCTAAATAAAATACAAAATAGGGCTTGGGATGTGGCTCAGTGTTTTCGTGCCCTTGAGTTCAATCCCTGGTACCAAACAAAACAAAATTAAAAAAATAACCAAAGGGCTGGGGATGTGGCTCAAGCAGTAGCGCGCTTGCCTGGCATGTGTGCTGCCCGGGTTCGATCCTCAGCACCACATACAAACAAAGATGTTATGTCCTCCGAGAACTAAAAAAAAATAAATAAATATTAAAAAAATAAAAAATAAAAAAAAAATAACCAAAACCTTCTACCAGTAAATCAAGGCTCAGAGCCAAGCA